AATTTGGAGAAATTACAGAAATTGGGGGAGGTAGCCAATATTCGATTATTGAGTCTACCTAATAGTTTAAAATATCATTTTCATTATTAATTAATGTACTATAATTTGGTGTAAAGTTTCTACTTTTGTGAATAAAGATATTTTTCTCATGACAAAAAAAAGGGTTAATACAATTTACTTAATTTATGAGTTAGTAGCATTAACTGGTGTCACGTGGCTGAAAGCATATGAAACGGGCTGACGATGTAATAATATATGAGTGTTTGAGAGCAAAAACATGTAGGTAACCAAGACCTAATAATGTCAAGGCCTCAACAAGCAAGGATTTAAAAATATAAGAACTATTTAGAAGTTTTACAGAAAGAAAAAATTTAATAATTCCGTGACCCTGTCCAATGAGGATTTTAATAAAACAACAATTATAATTATTTTTATGAATTTATTTCTACATCTTCAGACAGACGTTGCCTACCTAGCATATAAGATATCCAAAGCATTTATTTATTTATTCTGAATTTAATTAATATTAAATTTACGGTAAGACCTATGTCATATGATTTGACAAGAAAAATTTCTATTTTAGGAATTCTAATGATTAATAAAAAATGCGGAAATTACACATCTTTTTTATTATAAATATAAATTCGAAAATTGTTCTTATAGCTTTAATTTAAAAAGATTAATTTTTTTGTTATAAAAGATTTATAATGAAGAATGTAAAAAAATTTTGCAAATAAACTGTAAAAGGTTTAATATTAATAAAAGGGTGATTTGATTCGAATAAATAAATAAAATTGACTAAACAAATAGCTTAAAAACTAGTGTTCAATATTGAAAAGCCCGAGAGAGAACTGCTATAAAAATTTCAACAGCAATTTTGACTAACGAAAGAATTTCATAAACTTATCAAAAGCCATCAGCACCTATCATTGTAAACTTTTTGAGATATACTGGAAAATTGATTGGAGCTTCGTTATTAACCAGTCCTTAGTCGTAAATATTCGGGTTTTGCCATAAAAATGACCCACTTTGCAAGTCATCATAGCAAAATCCCACATTCCTAAAGAAAAGAACGTTACTACTTATAATTACATTATTAAATAAGTAAAAACTTTAAAAATTTACTTATCGATTGTGGTTTTGTCATAAATCTCTATATTGAATAAACAATATCTCAATTGTTTTCCATTAGATCACAGGAATTCTTTGATTCGAAATGACAGGAATTGATGGCATATGATGTGTTCATGAGATTTTTTTGTTAGTCAGAATTGCTGTTGAAAATTTCTATTGCAATTCTCTCTCAGACTTTTCAATTTAGAGCACTAGTTTTTTAAACCAATGATTTAAACAATTTGATTTTACAAAAAAAGTTAAATAAGTATTTTGTATCTCAAACTAATCAAGACTAACATAGATTAAGTCGATTCTTTCATCTTTCTGCTATTAAAGCGAAAATTTAAAAAGGAATAATAATTGTTCATATTTATGATATTGTCCCAATAATTTAAGTAGAAACACCAAACCTCCATTAATATTCTCTAAACTTCTTCCTTAAATGCCATTTTTCTAAATTTTCTATATCTTTCTGTAAAGCAAGAATATCTTCATGTATATTTTCATGTTCATGAGACAAATAATCATTTAAAAGGCAATTATCTTTATTTAGAGATTCGGCTTCTTTTTGTAGGTTTTCTAAAAAGTCATCAATGGCGTATTTTGCTTTTTTATAGAATATATAATCCTCATTATCTGCGTTTACAACTTCATAATTTGAAACTAATGAATCTTTTTTATATATATCAATACTTTTTCTATTATTTAATTCAACAACTAATTTTGATTTCCGTATAGTCTATAGTAGTGATTTGACCCGTCTTCAAATCCTTCACCAGGGTCACCCGTCGGGTGGACAAAAAGTCATCCGGGTGGAAATCGGGTCAACTTAAAAATGTCACCCACCCGGGTCACCCGACGGATGACCTGTCAGGTGACCCGTTGGCTAGTATAAAAAGATCACCCGGGTGGTAATATAACAAAGAATTACAGCCTTTATCAAATTCTGA